AAAGACTTCGCGGAAGCCAGGAAGCCCAACATAGAGAGGACCAAGCTCCAACCTAAGGACCCTGTCCACATCTTGGCGGTATTCCGAGGAGTTGGCAAAACTGCCCGTGTTGTGTAGCCATGGGGTTTGCTGGAAGGAAGATGGCACTAGGCGGGGAGGCGGGGTGGACTCGGCGACGGCGCGGTAGACTTGATCCCAGATCAGGGCATCGTTTGGATCACCGGCGAGGGCCGCACGCAGCAGGGGCTTGATACGGTCGAGGTCGAAGTCGTCGGAAGCAACGACCAAGTTGAGTCTTGCAATGTCAGCGAGGACATTTTTGCCTGTGCCGCCGGAGCGAAGCAAACGAGAGGCGGGAAGGATCTGTAGCGCCGAGAGGAGGGCGATGACAATGGTTTGGAAATCTGCGTCATGGTTAGAAGGGCATACTAAAGCGAAGCCGGGCGGTCTTCCCTGCCTTCTTGGTCAAGTTGACCCAACGCGTCAGGAGTGCGCGGCACCGCATATCGTCCCCACTCCAGCTGCCCTTGTAACGTTGCATGTGGTCAACCTCCGCGGGTAGCTGGCGGTGAGGGTTGTATTGTAAAGTCTGCAGTCGATGGTATAAGGCACGGACAGCCGTTGGACAGGATAAGCAAGTGAAGCGAGCAGCTGCCGGCTAAATCCTCACGTCCCAACCCAAGCCGCAGCAGGATCTGCATTTCGGAATTGACACTGAGGCCTAATTGATTGGAAGCTGCCTCGATAAGCGCCCAAGCCGCACTGGTCAGATCATGGAAATAAACTTATCGTGATGTGGCCTTGCTGTGCCATGGTTCGTCCAATTGCGTATCGAAAATGGCCGTTTGATCCGTATCTTGCATGTCATCCCGCACTCCGGCTGGTGAAATGTCGCGCCATGGCGTGATTTTCGGGGCCCAGGTGATCCGTGGGGACCAAGCCCCGCAGCATCACGACGCGTCCACCGCCAATTATTCCTGCAGCGTCGTGGCCGCAACCAGTTGTCTTGCTGACTACAACACTGTGCCGAACAGCGCATATGAGCGTGCAGACGACTCTGGATGAATATCGTCCAATCCGCCGCAGTAGGCGCTTAAACACCTTCTAATCACGTCAAGCCTAAACAACGCCTCGATACGAACGCCTCGGCCGCGTCTGATTGGCCGAATAACGAACGTCCCTCGAAACGGTGACACGACGGAAAGGCAACGGGTCGCGTATGAGTCATAGTGCTGTTCGTTCTAGCTTGGAGGTCGAGCTAACAGCGAACGCACAATCGGCCCCTTTCATCCACTCCCAAACGCTGCTCCCGACAAGAGCCCCGACGTGTCTCGCCCTAAAGACCGGCTCTTCCCGCTCATGCCCTGGTCCGCCGCGCCGAGTCGATGACCCGACCACTCCGCGTCGTCCTGTTGTGACCCGTATTGAAGGAGCTCGGCCCGCCAAGGGTACGCAAGTTCGGGTGGCTGGCCGGCCCATGCGCCTCTGGACAACAGGCTAGACCTCCCTCGAACCGACCCTGCGCTTTCGATCGACCCGCGCCTCTAGACAGAAATACCGTCTCCCAGTAAGCTTTCCGCCGGAGCCAACAATAGCGGAGATGGTCGCCACCAGCTGCAGCGCGAATCCAGCGTAAACCCGGATTTTCATCGGCGATTACGCAAGACGGACAACGGGTATGGTGAACCACAGCCTCACATCTATCTCTATTTTGGCTCTTCTGCATGCAGTTCGGCGTGTGGTCAGGGCCTCTGTAGTGTTACTCGTCCGGAGTACGTGCCCGTCCGGTCACACCGCCGAGTCCAGCCGTCGTATCAAAGTACTTGTCACACAGCACAGCTAATGCACGATGTGCGCTGGAGGTGTCGTATAAGTTCTCGAGACGCTGAGTGGCCACATCCGGGCTGAGGGAGGGTGTGATGGAATTTGTGGCGCGTTGCCTTGGGTCGCCAGAAGCTCTGGTGGCGTCGCGGCATCGGCGAAACAGGATCGCAGTGCATACTCAATTGGGAGATTTGGCCTAGCCGCAGCCTATCTACCCGGCCCTGCAAGTCTGCACAATACGGCCAGGGAAGGAGGTCCAGATAGCCAATATCCTGCAAGCTCGTCACAGCGCATTTGTAACCATGCTGTCGAAAATGCTAAATGATGGCCGAGATCTCTCGACGAGTCCATCCGACACCTTTAACAATACTAAAGCTGCGACCCATCACGCGGATACTGCTCTTTAACCACCGTGTACATTTTGCTCGACGGATACCCCTTGCTTGATCCAAACTCCTTGGCATCCCCTCGACAACTCTTCGAGTCAGTTTCTGGATGCTTCAACAACCGCGGCAATGGCCACCCAGCATACCGCTGTGATGGAGCCATTCAATATTGAGGCGGAGATAGCCTCTTCCCTCGATGACATGAGTGAAGGCGATCTTCGTTCGTTCGCGGAGCTGCACGAAGATCCCGAAAATGACGACCAAATCGAACTCCATATCTACACCTGTTTCCTCATCTTCACGAGAACACGCTCAACAGAGCATCTTGAACAAGCCATTCAACGAACGGAAGGATGGATCGCAGTAACGGCTACAGACCACCCGGATCGCACTCGGCGATTTCAAATTCTCGATATGATGTCGGCCCGGATGAGCCAGCGTAAGCTCGACATTGAAGGCTCTCTGTCCATGCCTAGGTGAGCTGCATTATTCCCCAAATTATTTCTTGATCGCCGTGGTGTTTCTGGCCTCGCTGCTAACACGATATATCTCGCCTGCTATATTAAGCAACCTAGGGGCGATGCTCGGAAGCTTGCTCGGCACGCGATTCGAACGGACCGGTTCGATGGACGATCTCAACCGTGCCGTCGAGGTCGCTAACATGGCGGTGGATGCCACGCCTCAAAACCACCCCAATCGAGCTGGCTGGTTAAGCAACCTTGGAAACCATCTCGGCAGGCGATTCGAACGGACCGGTCCGATGGACGATCTCAACCGTGCCGTCGAAGTCGCCAACATGGCGGTGGATGCCACGCCCCAAAACCACCCCGATCGAGCTGCCATGTTATACAACCTTGGAAACTGGCTCGGCACGCGATTCGAACGGACCGGTTCGATGGACGATCTCAACCGTGCGCTTTCCTCCTACAAAGAAGGCTGGAGTTGCCGTACCGCTCCCCCATCTATTCGTATTCGCTCCGCTCGGCAAGCTGCCACAATTCTCGCCTCGCAGTCAAATTGGCAAGAATCAAGTGGGCTGCTTCATGAAGCCGTCAACCTCCTCCACGCTGTTAGCCCACGATCGTTGAAGCACACCGACAAGCAGCACATGCTCGCAAACTTTGCTGGCTTGGCTTCTATGGCAGCGGCCACTGCTTTAAATGCGGGGAGCGGCGCATTTCATGCTTTGCAGCGCCTTGAACTCGGTCGCGGCATTATTGCTGGGCTGTTGATGGACATGCGCGGAGATATTTCCGATCTCAAACGAAAGCACCCCAATTTGGCAGATGAATTCATAGCCCTTCGAGATGAGCTAGACTCGCCAGCGGACCGACCAACTTCTGCGCTTTCTAGCGATGGCACATCTTCATGGGAGTCGCAAGCGAAGCGACGTCGTGAAGCAGACCAAAAATTCGGCGAGCTCATCACGAGCATTCGTGCTCAGCCAGGATTTGACGGCTTTCTCCGTCCGCCGGCTGCAGGTAACCTGATGGCCGCGGCCAATCCGGACCCTATTGTCGTCATCAACCTAAGCCCGTATCGCTGCGATGCGTTCTTGATCGAGCGCGACCGGATCAGGGTGCTGGAATTGCCTGACCTGACAATGGAAGAAGTCCAGAAACGGGCCCAGGATCTTCGATTTTCTCGCGCAACAGGCTCTTTCCACATCTTACCTCTGCTGGAATGGCTCTGGGATGCCGCCGCTCGTCCTTGTATAGACGCGCTTGGTTTGAAGAACCCCGTCTCTGATGACAACTGGCCTCGCGTGTGGTGGATTCCTACAGGACTCCTCAGCCAGATGCCCCTTCACGCAGCGGGAAGACACGTGCGAGGTTCTACCGAGACAGTGCTGGACAGAGTTATGTCGTCATACGCCTCGTCTGTCAAGGCATTAATACACGGACGTCAACACCCTGTTCGAAGGTCCGCCGGGCCATTCTCTGATTGCGCTCTCCTGGTTGCCATGCACGAAACACCAAATCTGTCGGGCAACGGAATCCTCCCGTTTGCTGCAAACGAAGTGAAGATGCTAAAGAATCTCTGTCGTGAGCTCCAATTATGGTCGCTCACACCGATTCTGCGCAAGGACAATGTGCTCAAACACCTGCAAACATGCAAGATATTCCACTTTGCCGGCCACGGGCAGTCGGACCCGGCCGAGCCTTCACGAAGCTGTCTGCTCCTCGAGGACTGGAAAACGAGCCCGCTCACTGTGGGAGACCTCCGCGACCACAGGCTCCAGGAGAAGGCGCCGTTTCTTGGGTTCCTTTCGGCCTGCTCGACCGGAGCCAACAAGGCGGCGCAACTCGCCGACGAGGGAATCCACCTTGTCAGCGCCTTCCAACTGGCGGGCTTCCGGCACGTGGTGGGAACGCTCTGGGAGGTCTCGGACAAGCACTGTGTTGATGTGGCGAGGGTGCTCTATGAGACCCTGCGGGACGAAGGGATGACGGATGTGGCGATCTGTCGAGGGCTCCATCGAGCGGTTCGAACGCTACGTGACGGGCGAACCGAGAGGCGACAGGAGGCAAGAGATGGCCATTCCGTGGGTTCTAACACAGCGAAAAGAGGCCCGACAGACAGTTACTGGGTTCCCTATGTCCATTTTGGCGTTTAGGCGTGGCAATCGTGGTACACATTCTCATTTAGAGTCCACATGAGTTCATTTCCTACTGCTTTTAGATAGTCTGTTGAATCTACGATAAACTGCAGCACTGACTTTTTGATCGTGCGTTCGCCCTAACAGGGGCTACAGGAACACTGCAATCTGATTGCCCTAACTAGTAGGCTTTAGGTAGCTAAAGAACGACCATCCGTCAAGTATGCTGGTTTACAGAAGGGCCTGGTTGTACGAGCTTCCCTTTGTAACTGACGCGGAAAGATTGGGATATCGATTAATTAAGACGCCCAGGACCGGGATCCGAAGACGCTCTCATGTGGCACGGTTGGCTACACAGCCCCTGAGATTGTCAAGGATGAACGTTATTCAAAGTTGGTCGACATGTGGGCGCTCGGCTGTGTCCTGTACACGTTGCTTTGCGGCTTCCCTCCCTTTTACGACGAAAGCATCGAGCTGCTCGCGGAGAAGGTGGCCAGGGGATAGTACACGTTCCTGTCGCCGTGGTGGGACGACATCTCCAAATCGGCACAGGACCTGATCAGCCACTTCTTGACGGTCGACCCGGAGATGCGTTACATAATAACCGAGTTCTTGGCGCACCCTTGGATCCGCGGCTTAGGTCCGACGCCGCGCGATGACAAGAAATTCCCTCCGGACGGCATGCTCCGAGCCTTTGACGCTAGCAAGTTGAAGGACGGAGACCGCCGCTACGACTTCCGCTCGCCCGGCGCCGTCAACCTGCGCGAGGTGTTTGACGTCGGCTATGCCGTCCACCGACAGGAGGAGGGCAAGCGCCGCGACTCGAGCATGCGCGACACCAGTAGCGACGAGAGCCGCGAGTATGCCCACAGGACCGGCAACGCTACCCAGCAGCTAGAGCAGAGCATGCGCGCCACAAACATCCGCGACCAGGAGCGCGGCCGCGAACGTGAAAGCCACAAAGGGGCGCCAACCGCCGTCGCGGCCGAGTCACAGCAACGGGGCTACGGCCAGCATTCAGCAGCGGTCACGGCGGCAGCGAGGCAGCAGGTCCACGAATTTAACAATCCTACGTATCAGGGTGACTCGAACCAAGGGCGCGGCTTTGTAGCCGATTACAGTCATCCATCATCGTCAATGCTTCATCGTGCCGGCCCAGGCTATTCCGCGCAATAGCCAAGTCATACGTGCTCCGGATCGTATCGGGATGCTTGTCGCCGAGCACGTCGCGCCGCAATGCTAGTACTATTACCATTTTCTCTGCCTCGCCGGACCTCCCTTGACTGTGGTATGTCGCTGCGAGTGACGCCGTACTCCGGATTGTATCGGATGCTTGTCGCCGAGCACCTCGCGCCGAAGTGCTAGCGCCTCCACGTCCATCTTCTTTGCCTCGTCGTACCCTGTTCGGGCGCAAGTTAGCCGGCAAAGTCACCCCGGAACTGGCCTAGAGGCATTTACATAAAGGGAGAGTTCCTGCTAGACCTACCCTCGCAGCTCTCTGTGCAGGTTGTTTTGGGATTTGTGCACATTGGGGATTTCCCATGAAGCGGGGTCGATAATGTTGCGCTTGAACTCGCCGATCGCGATGGGAACTCTGATGACATTGAATCTGGAGGAAAAGAGCACGTCGACGGAATTATTCACAGGCGTTGCGGTCAGGGGCTTCGCGTGGGACGCCTGAAGCAGCTCCGGATTGTGGCCCCAGGCGGCCAGGACGACATTGGAGACCTCGTCGTTGAACCAGCCGGCCACATCCTCCTCCATTTTCAGCCGTCAGCTTTTATAGTTGGGGGGATACGCGCGCTCGCGCCAGCGAACCTCGTCGTCCTCGTCCAGTTCCAGGAAAGCGGTTCGAAGTTTGCCCAGCCCCTTTCGGAACAAGGAGTTACCCGAGTGATGGGTGCGTAGCTTTTGGTCCACTTCTTGTTGGTGGCAGTGGTTTGCCCGGTTTCATACACGGGATTTGTCGAATGCTGCCCAAGGAGGTTCTCGACCGTAGTCGGCACCGCCGGCCCAACCGCCGTTTGGGCAGACTCCATCGTGGCGAGAGGTAAGACAATCGGCAACGAAAAGAAGCGATGGCGACTGCAGCGTCCTCCAGGGCAGGCTATTCCAACAATACAATTGGCCCATACGAAGCCCCTCATTAAGCGAGGTCGGCGGATGCCTAGGTCATGGCAAGCTCCAGGACGCTCTTTCCCAAGTGATCGTCCTTGTAACTCTAGGCAGACATATACGCTAAGCGGCTTTGGCTGGTGGGGGTACGCGGCTACCTACACAGGAGGTTATAGGGCTCGCATTACAGTCCTGGTTCCGGTTCAGGTGCTTCCAGCGCATATTGTAACAATTTCTTGTGCCGTATTTAAAGGGGAATGCGGTGACGATAGCTACAGTAGTTGCAGGCCTCGAGTTACGGGGGGCACAGACGGAGCCTCGCCACCAGGCCCTAATAAGGAATGTCGACTCGACACGCTCGCAGTGGCTTGCTGGCCGATCAACCACACGAGACGAGAAATCAACAAGGGACAAAGAGACAGGGTTTCGAAGAAAAATACGATTAGACCGAACAGGAGTGGAAGGGAGAGAAGACCTCGATCGACGTAGAGTCCCAAGAGAAGCCGGGGGCAAGTCCATTCCCGCCTCCCGTGTCCTTAGCCAGGAGACTTTGTACAACATTATAAATAACGGGGTCGGCACGTATTTGCCAGCTCGTGGCAACTTAATGCCGCTACCTGGGTCGGGGGACACGTTTATGGGCCGGGGACCCATCGACCAGGATCCGTTTGCCGAGCTCTTCGCGAGGCCTCCCATCGCGGACGGCGCCGAAGTTAAGGATCTAAAGGGGGAGATCGACTGTTAGGAACAGGAACAGAGCAGAAGCGAGGGCCGCAGCAAGGCTTACCTCGACATAATGACGACCCTTCTTTTGTACGGCAGCGACGCAGCGACGCCAATCAAACCCGACCTGCCAGACCTCACCTAGGTCCGTCAGGAGATCCTCGATGCACTCGCCCGTACCGATGTCCCACATCTTGACCGTTTTTCCACCGCCCGATATGACTTTGCGCCCGTCGTGCTGGAAGCAGCTAACAAGGTCATCAATATGCCCCGTCGTCAGGATTCTCTTGCACTTGCCGTTCTCCGGATCCCAAATCCGGAGGGCGCCCCTGTGCGAAGATACGAGCCGCTCACCGCGCAAGTCCAGCCAGAATAAATCCCTATGGCAGTCGAGACTGCGCAGGCATTCACCCGTTTCGAGGTCCCATATTTTAACCAACCCATCTCTCCAAGCCGAAATGCACCGGTTGCGCTTGTGGTCCAGAATAACAGAAGACAAATAGTTGCTATGCCCGCGGAGGACGTGTAGCTCCTCGCCCGTGCTGATGCGCCACACCCGCACAGTGCAATCGTAGCCGCCAGATACGAGCGTATCCGAATGGGTCGAGATGGCCCGCACCGAGAGTGTATGGCCCTGCAGGATACGTAGGAAATAGGGACATTCGGCATCGTTGCCCGGCGGGCCCGTCTGGATGTACCGCCGCGGGCCGGCCTCGGCAAGCCGCCAGGCATACGCTTTAACGTGTCGTTCGATGGCCTCAAGAGAGAGTACAACAGGCTTATCGACCACTACATCGCGCACGAGGAGCTCAAAACACAGCTCAAGCGCCGCGTACTGCCGGAGCCGTCAACGCGCTTCCTGTACGAGACTCTCGTCGGCCAGTGGCTGGAGGAGATGGAGCGCGCGTACCCCAGTAACAAGACGTACGAGCTGTACAGCTTCTTCGTGTTTACCAATTCGGACCCGGCCAAGCTTGCCACCATCACGGAGCTTATCAGCGGGCTTATGACGGAGTTCCGCACCCAGTTCAAGGGTGAGAAGGTCACTTTCCTCGTCACCTGGATTCACTCGGGCGGTAAAGCGTCGGAGCCGCCGCCCGAAGCCACGGCCTATTTTTGGCGCGAGGCCGTCTTCCACGCCTACGTGACGGTCGAGTGGGTAGACAAGTGGATGGAAGGGGAAATGCGGGCGTTCCTGATTAAAGTGAAGCGGGCGCTGCGGCCGCACTCGCTGGGCCAGGAGGCGGCGTTTATCAACTTCCCCGACCGGGACTTCCCCAGCAGGCTGCACGAGCGGGCGTACTTTGGGGACAACACCGAGGAGCTGAGGCGGATCAAGCAGATGTGGGATCCGGAGGGCTTCTTCAAGTGGCCGCAGGGCGTCAAGAGGCCCGGGGACCCGGACGAGGAGGACGAGGAGTCCGACGGGGGCGACGAGGACCAAACGGATCGACTGGCTTCGGAGCAGTGGGCCAAGCGGTGGAAGCACGACAATCCGGCTGATCTCGAGGCCGAATTCGCCTACCTGGCAGAGCGGGGGTTTGACGAGGACGACTAGTATTCGTGAAATACAAATGCGCTACACGAGATCAACTCTTTGAAGTGATAACAGCCCCTTTTCCCACATCTCGATAATCCCTTATAACCCTGGCCGGGCCTAGGAGCGGGTTTAAAAACCCCCTAGGAGGCAGGGACTGGTAGATCCCGACTTACCGACGTTAAATATCCCCCTCCTCCTCCTCCCCCATAAGCGTAACTGCGCCTCGGTGGCCATTCCTCTTTCCTTCTCGCTTTCCGGAGGCCATGATGGCGGCCGCTCCTCAAAATTACTTTTGCGACTGTTCCACCACTGGCCCCGAGCCTCGGAATGTGGTTTTGAGTTTGGGATACTCTTCCGCGCGGACCTGAAGGTCGGCAAAGATTGCATCAGACTGATCTCCGGCGAGGTGCCTCATCCGCTTCGTGTCCTCGTCCTCGAGCTCTTCCAGCTCCGCCAAGGTCTCCGCCTCGCTGTTCTCATCGCCGCCACTCTCTCCCTTCTTTCCTTTCACGCTGGTTGCTTTCTCCAAACCCGAGGGCTCACCAATGAGGAGCAGCTGCGTGTTGGGGTAGTCCAGGTGCCGGGGCTGGGATGGCAGCCAGCGAAGCGACCCAAAGTCTTTCATCACTCTGGGAAAGCTGTTAACATTGCGCTTTTCTCCACCTTTTTTTCCCCCGACAAAAGAGAAAGAGGCACACTTACTCGTTTGGGTACTCGGGTTTCTGCGGGAACCTCGCGTTAGGCGGCCCGTCGTTCTTGGGGTTCTTGGTGCTGACGATGAAGCTCCCCCGCCCCTTAAGCCCCATGGCCCTCTGCACTTCTCCCAGGTCCTCGGGCAGCGTGACGATGTACGCCAGGTGCGACTCCCTGCCCGTGCTTATTATAGCGTACACGCCCTCCGCCAGCGGTGCGGCAGCCGGCGCGTGCCTGGTCCCCCGCGTTTTAGTCTCGTGGTCGCTGCCCCTCAGGAAGGTGTCGCACAGCGTCGCAAAGTCGGTCGCGCCCTTCTCCGCTATGGCCATGAAGCGGTCGCGCCCGGTGCGGGGGAGGAACTTCTTGGGCAGGGCGAGCAAGCGCGCGCTGTCTGCTATGTTGTCGGTGGCTTGTTTGGATGGGGAAGTGGGGTCGTCGGACCAAATGGGGCGGAGGACGATGTGGCTGCGCGCGACGTCGTCGACGCTGCGGGGCGCCTCCTCGTCCGCGCCGCCGTCGCCGTCGGCGGTCTTGTCCCGCACGCGGCCGCGGAAGAAAAAGTAGATGATGCCCTTTTCCAGGATTTGCGGGGCGTCGTCGCGGCCGCCTGTGGAGGTGGCGCTGGTGCGTCGCGTGCGGGACTTTGTGCCGGAGCCACCCCGAGTTTTCTTCCCGTTTCCTCTGGGACCTTTGCTCCTGCCTTGGGAGCCCCTGGTGGCGTCTCCATTCTGTTTTAACTTGCCATCCGAGCTTCCGTTCCCGGCCGTCGTTGAACTGTTAGGAGGAGACCCGTGCCTGCCCCTGGACGCACGCGTTCGCTTGGAAATGGGACCGCCGTCTTTTTCTGGCTCGCTCTTGCGCTTCTCCCCAGCTCTTGCCTTAAAGGCCGCGGAACTGGCAGGTTTCGTCGTTCGCGCCATGTTGAGGATGCGGGTTTAGTTCCAAATGTGAATCCACGTACTGCGCCTTCGTGAATAGGTCCAGCCACTGCTTAAGCTTCGACCCTGAACTGACAATGCCGGCTTGGGTGCTATGGTGCCAGGGCGAGCAGCGTGTGTATTTTGTAGGGCATTGCTGGATTTCGTAAAGCTGATGTCATAAACGCCCCCGCTGCGACGATCCGCCAATCCACCATTGCTTTCGCTGCGAGGCTGTTTGTATCCACGACAACCATAAACGAGAGCAGACGCGGTTCGGCGTGCAAAAAGGCCCTGTTGGAACTGGGGCGTAAGGATGCGATCAAAGCGCGCAATTTCAATACGGCGCCGCGGCTCCCGGCTGGTCCTCCGAGTCCCGTAGGTATCATTTCGAACGTCCGCCACGCACCAGCATTAGAATCCTTCCGTAACTGCCGGTAGAAGGAATATCTTACATGCCTCCGGCCCCGGTCATCCTCCGGCCACCCTGGTCGCGGCAGCAGTCGCGGTGCTGGCGAGTCCCCACGTGGAAAGCCCAGCTCTCCCGCGGCATGGTCAACGACGCGCCAACACGCCTTTAAGAATCGGGACCTTTTGCGCAAGCAGCCCTGGTCAGCTCAAGCCGGGAGTGCCTGCCGGTTGCGTCACCAAATCCCCAAAAATCAACGGCAGATTTTTAACGAGGTGGAACAGCGCGCCCAGGACTACCAGGCCGAACGCGCACACGGGCCCCAGGATGGCGGAGACGGTAAAGCCGTACGACGCCTGTTGAAAAGCGACGTCCCCCTGCAGCCGCTCCGTAGCGAGGCCGACTGCATGGCGGTTAGCACCAAGGCGATGAAGACGGCGGCGGCGGCGGCGGCCATCCAGGCGAGGTTGTCGCGGAAAAGGCTGCTGTAGTTATTCCTGCCGCGGAGGTGCCGGTCAAAGGGTGCGGCGGGTAAAGCGGTGGATGGTGTTAATGCGGGATAAGCGGAGTTCGGCGTGCAGGAAGCGCGGGTGGACCTGGTTTGGGTCGTGCCTTTCGAGGAGCTCCCTAACTAGCTGCTTCCACTCTGCCCATTCGATGGTCGAGCCGTTCTTCCGGAAACCGAAGCTTCTTGTTTCTTGCCTGTACAGCTTCTTCCTGGGCAGTTTCTTCCTGGGCGGCCACTCGAATGTTTGGGAGCGAAGCTTCTAAGGCCTTGTAAGTTATAGATTCCGGGCTGGCCGAAACATTAAAAAGCCGAATATAGATATGGCGGGTTCAGGGCGCCATAGAAAATACTTGTTTTGTACCAGTGCCAGCACCCTGGCGCCGAGCAGGTTAAAAAATGACGTGGGCGGAGCTCCCTTAGTAACGCTGAAGGCGTCGAGGTCTACGCAGAGAGTGAGGGAGAGGCTGTGGCGCAGCGCAACGCGTGCATTTCGCACCGGTATAACAGCGCTATGGGCGGAAGTGAAGGTAAAGAGCAGGTGCAGAGGACAGCCAGCCTCCAGCGCGAGAGCCGTCACAAGGCACGCACCAGACGTGTTGCCCACGGCCGACGATTCCGTCGACCCCCGTGTTGCGCAATAGAAACGCTTTGTTGGGGTGTAATGCGCTGAGGAACGCGACCGTTGCATCAACCTTACAACCAAGTCGCCAAAACGCCAGGACATTCCAGGGACATCGTTTCCACTAGAGGGAACCTCTCTCGATTCCATTCGTGCCTATCGTAATGCTTCTGTATGGGCCAACCGTTCCCCAAAAAATACGTATTGACAAACTACCATAACATTTTAATCCAAACGAAGTTTATTTTTAAACTTAGCCCTTCCTCCTTTTTGTTACCCCTGGCCCTGTAAAGGAAGTGTTTGGAATTAACCCTTGCTGCTCAGCGTTGCTTAACTGGACGTTTTGTTCGACGGGCTTTAAAACGGAGCCAGCATTTGACTGCATTAAAAACCCTAGCCCTTGGGAAAGTCCCGTCGCCTTAAAAAGCGGTAAAACGTTAAAGTCCAAATTTAACGGCAACTAATTAATAGCGGAACAAATGTTTTTAAAATAACAGGCATCCAAATATTATAAACGTTTTTGGTAAATCGATATGCCGTCCATTTATTTTTGCCGTTCAACGCAATAAAAAAGAATTCGTGGATTGGGTAACGGTAATACTTTGTGTTTTTCCTAGCTATTACAAAGTAATGGCCGTAAATCCGCACTAAACTATGGTTATGCAAAACTAAAAAAGCGAAAATTTAGCGGTGGACTTTACGCTTACGCCTTATAGCACGGAAAAGCTCGACGATAGCCCGCACCGCAAGTGTTATACTGTAAGCGTTTTGCCGGTTTGCAATATCGAACGCCGCGGCGCTGCATTTTACTTTGCATGTTAAAAATAGGAAATACATATAGTACGTGGCCATAAAAAAGGATTGGTTCCCGGAAATGAAATTGCCGATAAATGGCGATAGCTTGTCGAATTGCTCGTCGGTAAATGCCTTTCGTTTAAAACCGACCGAATAGCCCGGCTAAAAACGCGTGCCGGTAAAAGGCATTAAATTGTTCCACCCTGCGTTAACGCTTTCGATAAAATGCTTGTAGCTTTTGTTACGGAGCGCAAATGATTCCGCGGACGGAACGATAAGCCGGGAAATGTCCTGGATAACCCTAGCTTCATTCGTATCCTTAAGGTTTTAATAAGCATCCACGAAAATGTCGTTATCGAAATGCGTTCCGTTGGGAAGAGATTGTTCGCCGTTAAGGAGGTCCCGAACAAGATTTTTGCTCGTATCCGTAATACCAAGTTCGGATGTTTTCATGTACGAGCCTTTGGTTTGGAGTAGGAGCGTATACCGCGCATTCCTATACGGTGCACTCTTTTCCTTTCGCAGCTTTTAATTGCTCGGAATTGTGGAAGTGGCAAAGTTAAACCGCTTACGCAACAAGTTAAATAAGGATTTTTTCCGCGCAAGCAAACGCTCCATGGTGGGAACCATTTCCCTTATATTTTCGGGCTTAAACAGGTCCTTTGGCCAATGCGCTTCCTTCGCCCAAAACGCAACCGGGTTAGTTTGTATGGGGTTACCGCTGCCAATCGCTGGCTTGCTGAACGTGGTTTTAGCAAGCGGTGTGCGGGATGTTCGTTGCCGCTTTTGGCGGCTTAGGCTATGCTCGAACGTGTCGTTAACCGATTGCTTGCGTTTGCAACCTCGACTTTAAGCGGGTACTGGTAATTTTTATAAATAGTTAAGCCATAATTTAATACAATTATGGACAAAATGCATACTTATGCAAATAGCGTTTTTTTAAGTATAAAAAAACGTAAGCGATTGCGTTCGGCGCACCCGGGAGCGGGTTGCTTTTAAGTGCGACCGCGCTTTTAAATTGCGCCTTTGCGCGACTAAATGTCTTGGGGTCGTTTTCCTGCCAATTATTAACAAAGGATTTTTTTTAGCGCGCCAAAAATTATTACTTTGAATCTTTGGCGCCGGCGATAAAAGCCGCTTTTAAGCCGCTGTTTGGGCCCAAGTGCGGGCCATAACGATAAGGACGGAAGGGAATGCGAAGTTTTGTGCATGGGCTGTTGGGGAATCGAAGTTTTAAAATGGAATGGCATGTAAAAAATGGCTGGCTATTATCGTTACTTTAGCTGGACCCACAACTTCCGGCGGAGTAAAGGGCAGCTTCTAGCCAATCATTATGCGCACCGTTACCCTATCGTGGTTATGGACGGGATCGCGGGGTAATTTTAGCCGCGCTTTGTTACCGAGTGGACGGCGGAGACAAACCCCCGGCTGCTGTGTCCAAAAAAGGCCACTCGACGAGGCATCTTCACTAATGACATTTGTTTCGGCAGCTATACCGGTTTACGCACGCGTGTATGTATAGGCAGCAATAGCCAGTTCAACCGGTCAAGTGCTGCATCGAGGCTGCCGAGTCTGCCCATTACAAATACCATAAATCTGCGCCCTTGCCGCCAACGTTTTGGCATGCCACGACTTAATCTCTACGATGTCCCTAAGAAGGTCCGAAGTGGCCAAAAAGATATTTCGAAGATTCTAGAATAGTATTAACAACTATAAATTCATGGGGCCTTCCACACACCCTTCCTGTGGCACGCTATAATATAAAAAATAAAAAGTGAAAGAGAAAGTGTGCCGAGAGCTTTAAAACTAAAACCCGTTCCAGCCGGCGAAGATTTATTCCATCCAACGGCCCCCTACTCTTTATCGATCATCACGGGATAATATGAAAGGTGAGTTTTAAAAGCCTGAGCAATCCATAGTCCGTTTTTCAAATATTGCCGGTGACCGCGTCCTAGAGTCGGACCGTTTTGTTTCGCGATGCTGACGCGAGCGTCCTGCTGTTCGGCGAAAAGGCGACGGCGAGGACGGCATCGTCGTGTCCCTGGAGCGTCTGCCGGAAGGCACCGCTGGCCGCGTCCCAAAGCCGGACCGTTTTATCTCGCGATGCCGACGCGAGCGTCCTGCCGTCCGGCGAGAAGGCGACGCCGTGGACGTAATCGTCGTGCCCCTGGAGCGTCTGCCGGTGCGCGCACATTACAGCACCCTTTTCGAGCAGCTGCTGCACGACAGACACATGCCCCTTCTCGGTGGCCCATCGCAGCGGCGTCCGGTCATTGTTATCTTTCGAATCGATATCCACCCCGCTGGTGGCGAAAAGTAATCGGACCACATCGACATATCCCTTGCTTGAAGCCGCAATTAACGGCGTCCATCCGTTTTTGTCCGCAACCGCCACGTCGGCACCTTTATTGAAAAGCAGCTTAACCATGTCGGCGTGGCCATTTTCGGCAGCCCACCGAAGCGGCGTTTGGACACCCATCCTGTTTAACTCGTTACCGTTTCCGCCGCCGTCGGTATGCCAAAGTTCATCCCACCGCTTTTGCGTCTATAACCATCGTTTAAACCCACGCTTTTGTCTTCTTTTAACCTTTGCTTGCCTTGCGCTTAAATGGCGTATTTCCTTAGCTTTATTGCCTTTTTCCTTAGCCAACATTTTTTTATTTTTTTCAAGCTTTTTCCTTTTTTCTTTAAACTGCTTTATTTCATTTTTTACCACTTCCCGCTTTTTTTTAATTTGTTCCAACCGGATACTTTTCCTTTCAACCTTTGGTTTAACTCTTTTTCCGCATCGCTTTGCCCTTTTTCCCAGTATTTTTGCAAGCTCCAGTATCAAATTTAACCTTTGCAACTTTGCAATTGCATCGATAGTAACATTTGGCGGATAAAGCATTGCTTTTGGCCTAATAAAAACATTGGCTCCTGCGCATTATGCTCCAATATTACCCGCAAACTAAGCAATCCATTGCTAGCACTTTTCTTCCCGGATGCTTTTTGCGCCACGTATTAAAGCTTCCCAGCCAACTTTTCCAATAAAATGTTTTTGCAATATATTATTACGCAGCATTAAGCTTCCGTACAAATGCCCTGCTGTTTAAACTCGAGCATTATTACGAAATCCCAAAACCTTTCCTCGTTATAACGAAATCGAGCTAATGTTCGATGCATAGCACCATCGAATTCAATTGTCGACGTAATTAAAGCCCGCTTTTTATCCCAGCAAAATCGAAGCGCTACGTTAACCAAGCTTAAATTAACTTGGGAAAATTCGTTATTATCGTAAAATTAAAACTGTTAATTTGCGTCCGGGGGCGGCTTGGCTTGGCTGTCGTTTTTAATGTGGATAAGCTTAGGCGAAACGCTAAATGCAGGTTTCGGCCGCAGCATTAAATGGCATCCCTTTGGTTTAACGTATTGGTCGGACAACCCCAACGTTATTTCGGCAAAAGGAATTCCAATTACTTGTTGCTTGTTGCGCTTGGGGCCGCAACTAAGCAGCCCGATTGCTTTGCCAGCGGAAACGGTAAGTAACGGTATGTGGATTTAAAAACTGCCACCAGAGATGTCGAATTGGTGCAAAAACATGGTGGATTGTTCGCGGAAAACAATGTGCCCGGAATTCGCAATATTTAATAAGGCGGCCGCCAAAATGCTTTTAGCTGTAATTTGGCCGGAATCGCTGGTAAGTGGTTTTTTAACGCTTAAGCCCCTTGCCAAAATGGAATCATCTTTCGTTGCTTTTATAATCCGTTCCTGCAGCTGGAAAAAGGCCTGCTTACCGCCCTCCCCATATATTATCGGCATCGTTACACCAAAGATGCCCAGGAAACAATATGCGAAATCTTCTTTCCTTTTCGTATCTTTTTGCGCAACCCGTAATATACGCTGCGCAACGCTTGCGGCATGCGGTTCGGTAATACCCAGTAAAAACCGACGGGGTATACTAGTAATTTCCCCGATAACGGCCTACAAGCTTCTTTTGGTCCCCAGGTCGTGCCATTCCAAATTGTAAAACCGCAAGCGCTTGGGTGCAAAAAGCTTTTGCAAAGTTTATCCTTTCCCGAACCACTAATTCGTCCGGAATTTGGATCCATGCTTTTAGGGATTGTCGTTACCAAAAACGTTAAATAAATAGGCATAGCAAACGAGAGCACGCTTATACCATCGAACATAAAGGTAATGGCTTCGCTAAGCTCCACCAAATTGGCTTTGTTAATGCAGCACGTATTAACCCAAGCGTATCCGATGCCGTCCTTTTTAACTTATCAATAGCATCCGTAAAATTTAACCAACCCGACGCCGGGTTTATCAACTTTTCCCTTTTCGATATTGCGGAAAGTAAGCTTTTCGTAATCGTCCCCCCAAATATGCAATAGTATAGCGTACGGAAGAGTTTTATCGTCGAAAAACTCCTCCAATTTCAATGTTTTAACGTTAATTAACCGCATTGCAAAGTTTTGTAAACGATTTGGAATACGGAAAGGATCGAATGGGGAGCCGAAGGACGTTCGTAGCAATTTTTCGAAGCAGCGGAAAGGAATTAACGGCCACGGTCGTACCCGGTATGCTGTAATCGACATGGATTGCAAGATTGCAATCGATTGGTATGGAAATGCTACTTTGTATATTCGGTTGCGTGGCTTTGCAAACGAAATATGGGGCAATAAAAAGGAGCATTCGAAATATTAAGGTATGGGCGAGTTTAAAGCGCTCGGGCACGCGTTGGGTTGGACCACCGAAAGGTAAAGAAAATAACAACGGAGCCATTTTGCGGGTTGGCGGCAGCTAAAGCTAAAAGCTGCATGGCTCACTTGGCGGCTAATAGCCAACGAAAACCGTGGCCACGCGGTTTGCAAAACTTGCCCGATTATCGGAGTCGTTAAAATATGCTCGCGAACCCAAACGCACGATTCGTTGGAAGGATTTGCGGAAAAGCACTTTGCTTTTAACGAACGGGACCCGTAAACGAAATACCGCAAACGCGCGACGCGCCGAGCGTGTTTGTGCTTTGTCGCTTGCCGAAAGCTTCCGTAGCGCCCTGGATTTTTTTGCGCAATGTTTGCGAAACGATGCTAACCCGGTCGTATGCTTTGCGCTTTATACACACGTTCGGTAACGCAACCTGGCAAGCGCGTTAACGCGTATTGGTAATAAAGCCGCAAAAAGTGGGTAATGTGGTTAATTTTCGGTGCTTATAACGAACCACGGCGACCTTAATGGCGATGCTCCTCGTTGCAAAACAATCGCGCCATAATGCGTTTGGCATTTAAATGGTACAAAAAAAAGGAAACGAAGCAGCTGTGCAGCCTTCCGCTTTGTACCGATAACGCTATTACCTTTTAACCGACAAATGCTATTGCTGCAAGCAATAAGCCGCCCCTCAGCTCCTAACGTATTAGCATAATTTATAAGCAGCCGAACAGCAACGTGTATTTCCCCGCAACGCCGCAAACGTCCTAGCTTACGCAACGCAAAGCATGCTAAACTAAGCGCCGTTTGTGTTACCAAAAATTAGATCGTCGTAAAACAGGATGTCGATACGATCGCCGACGCTCGTAAGGTAGGCTTCGATAGCGGCAATTAAGCGGTTAATCCGCCTTTCCTCGTCGTTTCGCAAGCTGTATTCTTTGTATTTAGCAACCTTGCTGGGTAGCGTGCTAATGCCGTTAAACATGGTTACCGTTGGCACCCAACGAGCGATGTACGCGTTGGGTTGTCGAAGCTAAGCTGCCGCGTTGCTTTGTCCTTGATATGCTCGAGCCTTTGGCGGTCCATTTGGAGGAGACCGGTATTAGCGTTACCGGAAATGTGTAATGTATACTTACGTTAGCCAAAGGTGCTGCTACCGGGACTTGTAGCAAATGGATCGGGTAATAGCAATACAAAGTAATTTAAAAAAAACGGGCCGGGTTTGTATGGTCCTTGCAATGTGCGTTTTGCGGTGCAATGCGCGTTTCGTAATATAATGCGCGTTGAAAGTGGCTTTCGCGGGGCGGTCGGATGGCTTTAGCGAAGCGATAGTTTTTCTTTGGAAAGGGTTTACGGTAAAAAGCACGGCAAGTAATACACCCAAGCGTTACAAGCCATTTACACTTTGGTGTGTTGCTTTCCCTTCCACATTCGCGCTATTGCCCAACATGGCTAACCATGTGCAAAAAAAGCGTAGCGGTTTTAGCACTTAACGCCGCCGTCGTATCGTCGACACTTTGGCTTCTTGTTACAGCCAGGCTTCTGCTCCTAAGGTAGGGCACCAGAGGAGTACTGAACAGTAGCACGTGACTTGGCAATTGAAGGGGATTTACAGGATAATTTGGGTGCGGCTTGGATGCTTGCTCCAAAGGTTACTTAAAAGCTAACTTAAATTGATTGATGCCGGAGCTTTAGTTAAAAACTATTTAGGATAGTAAAAAACCCTCCCTTTTTATATCCTTTTTCAAACCATGCTATATGGCTTAACCCAGGTAATTTTGCTTTTTTACTTAAAACCGGCGAAATTACTTATGGTCGGGGGTAATTTTGTTTTTCCAACAAAAATCCTTTAAATTACCCAAATTACGTGCTAATGCGGGGTAAGCTTCCTATCCTTTCCTTTTCGGGCTTTGCTTCTTTTTTGGCCATTTGGTATAGTTATTGGTTGTAACATTAACTTTCCTTTTTTTAAGCCAAATCCTTTTGGCCATAACCTTGCACCCCCGCCTTTTGTTAATTGTAAGTACTATTTTTCCTTATTATTTAGCCATCCCCTTTTTTTTAACAAAATGTTTGGCCGAATGCAAAAACCGTTATTAACCTTTCGTTGCTTTTGGTTGTTACATTTGGTGCTTTTTTTTATTACCGAAATGCCTTTTTGTTTTTACTGTAAATTCCAAAGCCGTTTTTTTTGTTTGGTATTTCCCCAAAATTCTTTTCGTTGTACAAAATGCTTCCGTTACAACAAATTTCGGTGCAACGTTTTGGGTTCCTTACCCAAAAAATTCCGCCGTTTGGTTTCCTAGCATAATAAATTGGAATTCGAGCTAAAGCGGGCCGAAAAGGCCCGTTGCTTTATAGTTGCGGAGCTTTTTTTGCGAACGCTAAAGTTAAGCGGTTCCGTAAACAAAAGAAGTTGTGGTTGGAAAAAACGTTGCGTGCTGCCCGTTGGGGCATTAATAGCGTGGAAAAATTGGAACGTGTTAAGCAAAAAAAGGCTGCGCAAGTTATTGCTTTGGTAATCGCTAATCCTCGCCTTTTACCTTTACCCAATTTCCCTTTTTTATTTTCCAATTGGGCAGCGTTCGAAGTTAATCCTAATTTTAACCTGCTTGCCCTTTTTCGATTGGGTAAGTTGTAATTTTTTTAACAATTCCTTTTAATCGTATGGCGCAATAGTAGCGCGTTTGCTTTTTGTAGCGAAAGGACCTGGGTTCGACTTTCGGTGCGACTTTTTAAAGGACATTTTTTAAAAAATGTTTTTTGCAGCTTTTTCCTTTGCACGAGCTTGCC